TCGAAAGAGGAAGGGATTTGCCAAGAGTCTCAGCTAGCACCCGGTAACAGAGCAAGATTTTGAAAACCCGGCCGGGTTCACTAAAGGCCATGAATGCTCTTTCGTCTGCCACATGCTGCCTCCACCAGGTCAACGTTTATGGAGTTAGATTATGGCTGTCTGACCCCGCCCCTCCCCGCCCACCTCGGACTGTAAATTCCTCCAAGGCAGGGGCCATGAAAATCCATCTTTGAAAACCTTCAACCCCATCCCCTCGACCCCCAAAACACCGGCACCCAGCTCAGAGCAGCACAGACTGGGCGACCAGCAAAACTTTCTCGAATGAATGAATGAATGAATGAATAAATGACTGGACGAATCCGAGTCCTCACTGTGCCACCTCCGGTAAACCTCCGTTCACCCCGAGCCTTGGTTTCCCCAGCTGCGCTCCTGAGGGCGTGAGGCCGACCTAAGTCATCTCAGGTGCGGCAGGAAGACACGGGCACTACGGAAGCCGGGCTCGGGCTGCTCCGGGCAGAGCTGGGCGGGCCGTAACCACAGCGAAACCCGCGGCGGGGGCGGGGGGCGTGTCGGGGGCGGGGCCTGGGCTCCTCCGCCGCAGCGCCATTGGCCGCACCTGCCGCCACCCGGCAGTAGTTGCGGAGGTCGGCCCCGCCCCCTTCCTCTTTCCCTCCGAGCAGGCGGCGGTCGCGGCGGCTTGTGAAGCCATGGTGAGAGCAGGGGAATCGGGTGCCATCCGCGCACTGTGGGACTCAGGGGCTGCGGTGGGGGGCGCGGGGCGAGCGCTGGGGTCCCATCTGCAGGCCGAGCCTGCGGGGCGCGGGGCGGAATGGCCTAGCTCCGCCACCGCCGGCCTCCCGCCCTCTCCGCGCGCCGGCCTGGGCCAGGAGGGGTGCGCGCGCTCCCGGGGCCTCCGTCTTCCCGTCTGCGGAATGGGGTAACGGCTCCGGCTCGTGGCAGGCCTGGGCGAGGGGGCGATACCGGGGCCCCGGTTATCCTGCTCGAGGCACGGCCCACTGGGGATGCCGGGCCCCAGCGCGCTCTAGGCGCAGGGCGAGGCGCGCGCCCCACGGCCTGGCCGCGGCGTGGGTGGACGGGAGGGCGGCCGAGGGCGGACGGCCTGCGGGGCATCTGACCAGGTCCCTTTCCTGCGCGCAGGCCAAGATTAAGGCTCGAGACCTTCGCGGCAAGAAGAAGGAAGAGCTGCTGAAACAGCTGGACGACCTGAAGGTGGAGCTGTCCCAGCTGCGCGTCGCCAAAGTGACTGGCGGCGCGGCGTCCAAGCTCTCCAAGATGTGAGTGACCGGCGGCCGGACCGCGGCCCTCCAGACTTGGGGGACGCGTGTAGCTCGGGAGCATTTGTGCATTTTCCAAGTTGCCTTAAGGAGGTGTCCGTTGGAGTGCCATTCAGAGGATCCGTGGGTCGGAAGGTCCCGCCCTTCCCGCGCAGCCTCTCCAGGCCCTGGAGACCCGGCTTAATGCTGCTTCGGAATCCTGCCTGGACGCCTCCTACAGCTCCTGGGTCTTTGCTCCACTCGCTCACTTGGGAGATGAGCGCCTTCCTCCCTTTACTTGAGTTGTAGTGTAATTTGCTGATCCACGTGGGTCGAGAATCAAGACTTGTGAAAGGAACGTGGGTTTGCAGTCAGTCAACCTGGGTACCGATTCCACTTCTGCCCCATCCTACCTGATGGGCCAGTTGGCCCACCTGCCAAAGTTTCCTTTCCGCTGATAGAAAATGGGCCCCGCGCAACCTTCCTGCGGTGGTGGGAGGGGATTGGATGAGTTGAACACGTAAGCCGGTTGGGTGCTGGATCCTCTGTATCACGTTCACCAGCCTGAGTGACCCTCCCTGGGCCCCCAACATGCCTCATAATCAACACGACTACCAATTCACTTATCCCCAGCCTGCTCCTGTCCTCAGCCCCCTCCCCCAGAGCATTTCGACTTCCCAGATGTCTCATTTCTCCCTCCCCAGAGGCCTTCCTGTGGTTCCTTGAGCTTAGCCTGGTGCCCAGCTTGTGGCATCATTCCCTCAGCCAGCTCTTTCAGATCGACGTTGGTTAGGTCTTCATAGCCCTCATGGCCTGGGATGGAAGATCCTTCCTGATCTGCCCCACCTGTCCTCTTTAAGCCTCCTTGATGAACACTTCACAGCTCCTCAAAAGCACTGGACACTCCAGCCTTTCCTTGTCCCCACTCCTGGGGGCCCATCTCCTATAGTCTCAGGCCCCACCCCCAGACCATTTGTCTCCTGGGTGATTGGATGGGCTGCTGGGGAATGCCCCTGCCCTGTGGCATGTGGGTGGGGCCCTGAAGGAGATACCTTGGGGAGGGCTGTGTGTCTTCCCCATCTTCATTGATGTCTCTCTTTTTTAGCCGAGTTGTTCGCAAATCCATCGCCCGTGTTCTCACCGTCATTAACCAGACTCAGAAAGAGAACCTTAGGAAATTCTACAAGGTGAGTCTGGGGGTGGTGCTTGGCTTCAGGGAGCAAAGTTCCGGCCCTCCCTTGGCCAGAGGGGCAGTGTGGAGAGCTGCTCCTGCTGGAGTGCATGGCACAGGGCTTGCCCAGACATAGCTGGGCTTTCCAGAGCCTTCCCAGTTTGTCGATGGCTTTGTCCTCTTACCAGCATCTTGTACCGGCGTTGGGCAGCACACACTGCCGCTCCTCAGGGCTGCAGTTGTCAGAAATCCACGGTGTGGGGCAGTCTGGCTGGAGACTTGGGCTTTGAATCCGGCTCACCACCTGAGTGAGCTTGGGCAGTCGATGAGGATCACCTGTTTAATGTTCTGATTGTCTTATGAGCACTGTGTCGGTTACTGCCCAGCCTCAGCTTTCAGATAAGGATCTCAGGGCTTAGAGTGTAAGTTGCCCAGAGTCACCTACAATTAGTGGAGTGATTTGACCTGGGTTCCAACCATGTCCTGGGGAGGAGTGGATGGAGCGCTGCTGGGAGACTTCCGCAGGTGTCTGGGACCTCAGCCTAGGTTTTTTACAAACCATTTTCTGGTCGTCTTAAGATTGGTGTTATCAGGGTTCAAACAGAGAAGCAGAACCAATAGGAGACTTGACATGCGTGTGTGCACACAGGTGTTTGATTGGTTGGAAGGAATTGGCTTGTGGTTGTGGGGGTAGGAAGCCCAGAGTCAGCCTGGCTGTCGGAAGAGATCACGTTGGGCAGGCTGGACTCCTCGCCCGGGGTGGCGCTGCTGTCCGCAGTGGGGTTTCTTCAGGAAGGCCTCAGCCCTGTCCTAAAGGCCTTGCTACTGACTGGACCGCCCCCCGCCCCCCCCCCAAGTGACCCAGGCTCATCTCTCTTCATTAAAGTCAGCTGATTGGAGGCTTTAATTACATCTGCAAAATGGCTTCGCATCAACACCCGGGTTAGGTTTGAATAACTGGCTTTGACACGTCAAAAAAGCCATCGGTCATGTGCCTGGGTGGGCTGCCCAGGAGACGCTAGCACGGGGCAGGGAACTGCCACCCCTGGATCTGCACACATTTGTGCATGGGAGTGTCTTTCTGAGCATTGGGTCTGAAGCGCTCATCGGGCTGAGGGGACCATGTACGCAGAGGTGGCCAGGAGGAACAGGCAGCGCTCGGTCAGGGTAGAGGCGAGGGCGCTGCCTCAGCACGGCCAGCACACTGAGCGCTGGGAGCGTTCTGTCTGTGCCAGCCAATGCGGTAACCTGGCTGCGCGCTGTGGCGCACCTGGCGTGGCTCTGGTGACGGAAGGCCTGAATTTTATAGGGAACAGCATGTTGGCTAGTGGTCACTCTGGACAGCAGAGCTCTAAGGGGCTTAGTAAACGTGAAACGGACGAGGCCCTACCCTGTCCCAGGAGGAACGTGGGCGGCAGCCCGTGCTTCCACTGTTCCTCCAGAGCTGGCCCTCGGCTCCCGCTTAGCCTTTCTCTGTTCTCTGTTCCAGGCTGTTTCCCCCGAACCCCACTCGCCTCACACATGCCTGCCATGTGCCCACCCCTCTGGGCGGTGGGCAGCCTGAAGGGGCCGGAGCTGCCTTTCTGCAGGACTTGTGTGCAGGCTCTGTCTTCCCTGCTTTCAACTGGCATCCGTGTTGCCTGCTCTTGAGGCCGTTGCCAGTTGGGAGGTGAAACTTACCTTTCTCTCCTGCTCCCCACCAGTGGGCCGCTATTAGCTGTTCAGTCTTTCCCCCAGGCTGGTGCTCCTTGAGCAGGGCCCAGGGGACCTTTGCAGAGCACAGGAAGGAGAGGGCATGAGAGCTGCCCTAGGGTAGAGCTGCTCCCTGGGGAGCAAGCGTGGTGGGAATGAGTGGGAGGAGGGGAATGGGAGCCAGGATGGTGAGATGATGGAGTGGTGGGAAGGGGGTTGTGCCCCTCGTAGTGGGGTGACACTGGCCATGCCAGATCTCCCCTCTGAGACTCATGGATTAAGTGGGGATGTTATCACAGGGAACAGTACCTGACAGACCCTTCAAGTTCATCAAGCACCAGCTTAAGCCCCACACACTCTCTTATATAACTTAAGAGAACCGTAACTGGCCCCAGGACTTGGTGGGTGCCACATACCCCTCACTGGGTTGGGGTGTGACATTGACTCCATGGCTGGGGATCAGTCAGGCGGAAAGAGCACGGAGGAGGGGGCGCATGGCCAGTTCAGCCAGAGCTTCACTGAGATTTCAGCAACTTCTCTCACATCTCAGCCCACCGAGTCCACAGACTTAAAGGAAATGGGGACAATCCCCCCGACTTGAACTGGGGGAAATTAAGTGAGCTAGTAAGCAAAGTGCACTGCTGACATCTCCGCGTCTCTAGTCCCATATTGACAGTCCCCTACTGGGCTGTTTGTCACAGCTCTGCCCACCCCAGTTACGCCCCTCCCTCAGTCACTCCCAGCGCCCTCGCAGAGCCTTATTAGTTCCAGCCTCTGGGGCTCTCTCGGCTACTGCAGTAGCTCCTAAACCATGGCCCTCAGTCTCCTGCTCTCCATCACCCAGGGCAAGAAGTACAAGCCCCTGGATCTGCGGCCCAAGAAAACACGTGCCATGCGCCGCCGGCTCAACAAGCACGAAGAGAACCTGAAGACCAAGAAGCAGCAGCGGAAGGAGCGGCTGTACCCCCTGCGGAAGTACGCGGTCAAGGCCTGAGAGTCGCCGCCTCAATAAAACACACAAACTGGCTGGTGGTGCTTTGTGTTTGCGGTGTCTCAACTAACCGGGCTGGAGAGGGGCTGGCGTGGCCCTGGTCATGGTTACCAGGTGCCGGGTGGATGTCAGCATGCCTGCGCAGCGTCAGCCGCCCTGGTCTGGGGCCGGCACGGTTCTGACCACAGGGATCATTGGGTGCCCTGTGGTGGTGACTTTGGGCCTGTGGTGGAGGGCTGCCTGACTGTCCTTTCCCAGGTTCATTCCACCGGGCCCCTTGCGCCTTGGGCAGGGAGACGCAGGGCATGAGGTCCAGGAGCCATCCGAGGTGGTGTCATCTTCGAGAGAGCCTGCGTGATTTGACTGCGGTGGACTTGGCGTCTTGCCTGATCTGCAGCTCCACACACTAAGAGCCTCCCATCTGGGGTGAAGGTGCAGGCATGGGCCACGTCCAGGACTCCCTGCCAACAGCACGGCCTTGGGCTCTGGCAGTGAGTCCTGTCCACCCCGGCCTCCCCTGCCAGGTCCGCCCACGCACCTTTGGGTGCCTCAGCCACAGGCCTCACCTTCAGCGTCTCCATGCACTTTCCCGTGTTGCAGTCCCAGACTTTGACCTGGAAATCAAAACAAGCAGAAAGGGAGGGAGGCCTCACCAAGCAAGTCTGGCCTCTGCAGTCACCATGGGGTCAGTCGTAGCCAACACCTTAAATTCTTGGTCTGGGTGCCGTTGTCTTGAGTTGTATTTAAAATGCCCAGCGTAGTATCTTGTGTCAGGGTTCGGTGCAGTCCCCATTTCCTTTCCCTGAAACTATTTGAGTCACAGGAATGTCAATGCCCGTAACATCTGGGCCAGCCCAGGCCCTAATGCCACACACTAGGTACAGAAGTCTGGCTCCTGCTTTTGGCACCGTCTTATTTAAGGGCCTACAGGGATGTGGGCGTTTCTGGACATGGAGTGCTGAGGGAGTATGGGGGGTCGGAGTTTGCTAGAGGAGCAGCCTGGTGGGAAGGGCTTACCATGCGCGAGTAGCCAGCGCTGGCCAGCTGCAGCCCATCAGGGGAGAAGGTTATGCTCTTCACCCAGGTGACGTGGCCCTTGAGCTGGAGGAGCAGGCTTCTGGTCGAGGGCTTCCAGATGTGGATGGTCTTGTCCCAGGAGCCAGATGCCTGGACAGCAGACAGTTCTCAGCCCATGTTTTGGGGCCTGCATGCTCACTGAGCCCCAAAATGGCCTGTGACCCTCCAAGGGTCTTGCAGCCAGCTTACCAGGAGGCCAGATGCTGAGTAGCACAGGCAGCTGATGTTGCCACTGTGGCCCTCCAGCTCCTGGTAGACCTCTGGGGTCCCCGTCCGCAGGTCCCAGATGCGTATGGTGGCGTCCCAGGAGCCAGTGGCCTGCAGACAGCTGCCATGAGCATGGACCAGCTGGCCCATGCCCACCCTCGTGCCTAGGTTGGCCAGGGTCAGAAGAGCAGAGGCACCCAATTCTAACCATTGTTGAGTCCCAGTGGGAAAATGGGTGTGGGTCACAGCTTCCCTCATCAACTTAGGGGGGCCCAGGCAGAGGTGGGGTGGCTCACCAGGCAGTCTGAGCTGGGTGCGAATTCACTGCTCTGGACGGAGTCTCGGTGCCCTGCTAAGTGGCGAAGCACGTGGCCAGACTAGAGGAGAGAGCCCTGAGCTGCTGCAAAGGGCAGCCCGAAGCCTCGCCAGGACCTAGGCCTCAGATGAGTCAGACCCAGGCCCTCCCTGTGGGGCTGCCTGGGTAATGTGACACAACACAGGGTCTGGGGGGATTCCTGGGCCTCAAGGAGAGGAGGGCAGCCCAGGCATGAAGCATGGGGAGCCTCATGGGCAGAGGTCTTGAGGGACAAGGGCTGGTGTGTAGGGGGAGGCCCGGGGAGGTAGCTGCATGCCAGAAGCAAAGGGGTCTTGGACGCCAGGTGTGGGCATGGCAGTGGGGAAGATGGGACAACCTTTCTGGGGCCAGGGTGGAGGGGGTGTGTCTCCTCTGGATCCCAGGCCTCACTGGGCTGCCCCTCCACATACCTGCACCTCCCAGAGCATCACCCGCTTGTCCCAGCCACCCGATGCCAGCTGCTTCGAGTCAGGGCTGAAGCTGACCGTCTCCACACTCCGCTGGTGACCTGCAGGCACCAGATCCAGGAGGAGACAAGGACACAGCAAGGTCCCAAAGGAAACCCAGGCCTGGCTGCTTGGCTCTCAGTTCCACCCAGTCCACTCACCCTTTAGGACCTGCAGACACTTGGCTTCTGCCACATCCCACAGGCGGATGGTGCAGTCACAGGAGGTGCTGGCAAAGAGGCGGCCATCAGGAGAGAAGCGGCAAAACTTCACGGGGCCTGGGGCAGGCAGTGTGGTCAGGCACAGGGCCCCGCCCTCTCCCTCTGGCCCTTGAAGTCTGACCCTGCTAATTTCTCCAGCCTCATCACCTACCTCCCCTCTCCTCACTCCCATCCAACCCTCATCCTCCAGCCACCTGAAATTCCCGGGCCTCCTGCCTCAGCCTGGAACAGCGAACCTCAATTTGCCCATTTGGAAAATCAATACCCAAATCAAATGCAGGTGCCTCCCAGAAACTTGACAGCCCGGCCTCGGTTCATTGCCTGCTTCCAGCCCCCAAGCCCCTGGACTTGCCCTATTACAGCACTAATTAATCTGTCCTGTAATCACCAGACTTTCTTTCGTGTCGCCTTAATTAATAATTACAACTACCGAGTCCTTATTGGGTGCTAGGCACTTTACGTGCATTCTCTCATCCGACAGCGGAGCAGCTGCATACCCATCCCCATTCTACAGAGGTGGAAATAGAGGCTCAGAGAGGGGACCTGACTGTGATCACAAAGAAGTGGGTAAAACATAGATGAACCTTAAGGACATTATGCTAAGTGAAATGAACCAGCTACAAAAGGAAATTCTGTATGATTCCACCTCTGCAGGTGCTTAGAGTGGCGAAATTCATGGAGACGGAAAGCAGAGTGGTGGCTGCCAGGGACTGGGGGAAGAGGAATGGGAAGTTTAACGGGTATAGAGTTTCAGTTTTGCAACATGGAAAGAGTTCTGGAGCCCAGCTGCACAGCAATGTGAAGGCACTTACTACTGAACCGTGCCCTTCAAAAATGGTTAAGACGATGAATATTATATATATTTTTAAACACTTTTTTCAAAAGTAGGATCTGAGTCCAGCTCTGTGAGTCCAGGGACCAGGTCCCAGCTCCTTGCCCTTCGGCCCCAGCCCTGCCCAGGCTGTCTGGCCTGGATGCCCAGCTCCAACATCAGAGGCAGGCCCTACAGAATGCCAGGACAGGCCCATGGGCCTCAGTCTCCCCATCCAGGCTGAGGAGCCCCACCTGTGTGGCCACCCAGCCTCCACAGCAGCCGCCCACTCTGGGTCTCCCAGCCATACACACAGCCATCTTCGGAGGCTGTGAGCAGCGTCTGGCCGTCGGGAGAGAAGGCGGAGGAGTTGACCTGGAAGGAGAGCACAAAAGTAGTCCCATCCCAGCCGGAAACACTGCCCCAGGATCCTGGGGCTGGAGCTCGGACCTCGGCCTCGCTCTCCAACCAGAGCCCAGAACCCAGGACCCGCTCGAGTCAGAGCCGAGAGCTTGGAGCCCTCTCTGGAGCCCCGTATAATCTGAGCCTGACGTTCGGAGCCCTCCCTGGAGGCAGAGGCTGGAGCCTTCTCTAGAACCAGAGACGGGCACCCCAGAGCCAAGAGCCCACTCTAGAACTGGAGCCCAGAACTGGGAGTTCGAAATCTACTCTAAGCCCTGAGTTCACTCTAAAGCCGGAGTCCACAGAACACGAGTCCGCCAGGAGTTTGAGCGCTCTCGGGAACCAGAGCTTAGAACCTGGAGCCCATTCTGGAGCTGCAGCCCAGAGAACACTCTGGAGCTCCTACCATGCAGAACCAGGAACCACTCTAGACCCAAAGCCAGGCGCTGAGTCCGGGCAGAGCCCGCGTGGGCCTCACCTCCCCGCGGTGCCGGCTGAAGAATTTCACTCTCCCCACGGCCAGCGTCCCTGGGGCCCGGCTGTTCATGGGCCCGCGGCCGCCCGGCCCGGGGGACTTCCTCCTGGGCAGGCGCCGGTCCGACCCGCGGACCCCCACTTAGGACAGGGAGGAGGGGAAGGGGGAACTGTGTACAAGCGGTCTCCATGGCAATCGGGGCGGGACGCGCAGCCGCTGTGGGGTCTCCGGGAAGCCACAAGGAGAGAGAGACTGGGAGACAGTTCTCAGCCCGGGGAGGTGAGGCCGCAGCAGGCAGGACCGCTGGGGGCTCGGAGAAGGGACTTCCCCTCGGGGCCGCTGCCGCCTGATCCCGGGCAGCTCCGGCCGCGGGGCAAGATGGCGCGCAGGGCGGCCGCTAGAGGGCACCCCAGCCCTACACATCGCGCCCACCTCTCCCCTGCACCGAGCGGTGCACCGTGCCTACCCGTTTCAAAGGGCCCACAGACCCCTTTGAGAGGAGCCTGTTTCCCCATCTACACGATGGGGAGGATCATCCCTGCGCCCCCAGGACTCCAGGCTTGAGCCAAGCTCAGGGCCTGACAGATGGTAGGTGCCCAGGAGCGCCCACGCTGGACCCAAGACCCCTTTCCTCCAGGAGTGGCCAGTGCTGAGGCTGAAGCTCCCACGGAGAGGGTTGGAAAGGACACCCACTTCATGCCCTGCAGAATGTGAGGAGCCAGAGGTAGTGTGTGTACAGCCCAGGGCCTTAAAAAGTGGGGTCGCTGTTGTTAACATTCCTGGCAGCACAGAGGGTGCCACCTGAGGATGGGAGGCTGTGGAGGGAGACCCCCGCAGCTGTCAAGACCCTTGTTGGGTAGTTCAAGCTGAAACAGAGAAAGGACAGGACTTGGTTTCAATGCCCATTTCACAGATGAGGAAACAGGCCCCATGAGGTGGGTGGACTTGCCCAAGGTCACTCAGCCTATAAGGATGGAATTGGGACTTGATCCCCTGTCTGCTGACTCTGGGGGCCTATCTTAGGACCACCCGCCATGAATTGCAGGGGCCTCGCAGCAGACGTCGAGGTTCCTGACTCCTGGTACACCTGGGAAACTGAGGCCCTGAGGGGGCAGATTTGGCCAGTCCCCCAGCACCTCCAAGGCAGAGGCGGAGCCAGGACCCAGGCCCCTCCCCACAGCGGCACACAGGTGGGACCAAGACACCTTCATCCGGACTGTTGAGTGGATTCCAGGCTCCCCGGGGCGGGGGTGGGGCAGCTGAGCTTTGGGAGCCTCAAACTTGAGGGTTCCCAGGCGTGACTCACACCCCTCCCCCCAGACCTCTCTGCCAGAAACTCTTCTCACGAGATCCGCTGTGCTCCTGCTCTATTTTAGGTCCCAGACAGTCAGGCGGGCGAGGGGGTGACAATGGTGGCTTTGAGGCAGCCCCACCCCCACCCTAACTCCCAGAGGGTCCAGGTCACTGAATTGGCTCCTCGGGGACCCTCTGAATGGGGCCTATAAGATCACCCCCACGCGCAGACCTGGGTCCCAGATGCAGCTCCCCCACCGCTGCCTCCCCAGGCCCTCTCCCCTCCCCTCAGGTGCCCCACCCACACGCAGTGTGGCACTTCCCCAGCTACCTGGTTCCTCCTGCTCTACCTGGAGGGCCCAGGCCCACCTTCCCCAGCCCAGCCCATCACTCTCAAAACTCTCTGGAGAGAACTTGTCCACCAGGCCCCGTGGCCACTCGGCTGGTAGGGGTGCAGCTGGGGTTTAAAACTGTTCTGCTTGACCCAGGAGTCTGTGGTTGGAACCACTCACCATGACTTCCAGGGGCATCAGCAGCTGAGCATCATGTCCACCTCTCCAGCTTCAGCCTGCCCCTGTCCCCCGCCCCTACCTTGCTCCCTGAACTCAGCCACAAGGGCCCTCTCTTCCATCCCTCCGTCTTCAGCCCCACCCTGGGCCTGCGCACAGGGGTTCCCACCCTCCTGGCCTGGCACTCACCTTCGGATCTAGCCCGAATAGCACTTGCCCTGGGCGGCCTTCCCTTGCCCACACCCCAGACCAAGTCAGTGCTCCTGTCCCAGAGGTGGGGCGGTAGAGCCACAGGCCTGGGTCAGACCTGGGGTCTGCCCACTCCCAGCTCTGCGACGTTGGGCAGGCTGCCCCGATCACCCAGTATCTCAGTTTCCTCATCTGTAAAATAGGGCACTCACAGTGGCTGCCTCGTGAGGAGTCGGTGAGATGGTGCCCATAGGTGCTCAGAGAAGTGGGGGGAGGCTGTGACATCCACCTTTGTCCCTTTAACTTAAAACTCAGACATTAGGCTCCGAATGCCCTTTGCCAGGCTCACCTGAGGGGCTCACCGCCCAGGGAGATGTCACGAGGTAGTGCAGGCCTGGGGATTAGGGGCGTGGCAGCACAAGTATTTCACTGGCTCCAGCTCTGCCCATGGGATTGGGGGACCCAGATTCTAGCCTCCCCAAGAGGGTCCTGGGGGGACATTTTCCACCCCTGATGGTCTCTTCCCTCTCAGGGAGCCTGCTGCATTCTCTCTGCCCCAGCCCAGACAGTCTGGGGAGGAGGCCCATGCTGGCCCTTCCACTCACACCCCATGCCCTGAAGGGGACCCACAGCCCTGGGACCAGCCTTGCCTCTCTTCATTTCCCCAAAGTACCTGCCTTCCAGGCTCCGTGGTTCCCTCTGAAACTGCCCTGGGTACACAACCATTTTAAAGAGAAAACTGGAGACTCAGAGAGGAAAATGACTTGCGCAAGGTCACACAGCTAGAAGGTAGTAGAGCTGAGATGCAAACCCATGTCCGATAACCTGCCAGCCCCCAGCTCATTCCTTGCACCGGACTTTCTTTCAATATAGTTTGGGAGGTTGGGGTATGAGCCTCTGCCCCCCACCCCACGCACACTTCACCTCTGTGCATGGGACCTCACTATCCCATAGGATGGCCCATCCCATCCTCGGAAACTCCTAATGTTGCAAAGTCCTGGGTGGGTCAGAATCTGCCTCACCCCGTCTAACAGGGTGGAGGATGGGCCCAGCCTGTGTCCTCGCAATTCCCCTCCCAGGGCCACCTCCAGCGCTGTTTGCAGTTCCGAAAGGCTGGAAACAATCCAAATTACTAGTCTAAGGCTGCAGAAATAAATGATTGCAGAGTCAGACAACGAAAGGTACACAGCCAGGGAAATCAACAAACTACACTCCACACATCAGCAGGCAAACATCCAGACACACTCTGCAGAAAAGCAATGTGGCAGAAGATGCTATAGGCACCATGCCCCTCCTACGAAAGTCAAGACTTGGGGCCAGCCTACTGGCGTAGTGGTTAAGTTCACGTGCTCTACCTCAATGGCCCAGTATTCGCGGGTTCAGATCCCAGGCACAGACCTACACACCATTCATCAAGCCATGCTGTGGCAGCGTCCCACATACAAAATAGAGGAAAACTGGCACATGTGTTAGCTCAGAGACAATCTTCCACACCAAAAAAAAAAAAAAAATCAAGACCTGCCAAGGGCAACCCTCCACTTCTCAGGCATACATCCACATGTACTGAAACCATGAAGAAAAGCAAGGGATGAGAAACTCTCCAGTCACCGGAGTGGTTAACCATGGGGAGAGTAACGGAGGGGACACACAGGGTCTTGAAGAGTACTTGTTCCTGGTGATATTCTGCTCAAAGCTTGGTAGTGGGCAGTCAGGTGATTCTCAGATTCTTCTTAAATAACCGGCTCCGCCTCTCTGGCCCCTGCCCACCTCTCCTGTCCCCCTCCAGCTTCCCCAAGCCCTCCCCCATTGCTTGTCCCCACCACCCCCAGTCCTGAGCCGTTTAGCGGGTTACACAGTGCTAGGCTAGGATGCGCTTTCCAATGGTGCCCCAGGAAGCGGAGAAAGCTGTTCTGTAGCAAGAGAGCCAGCCGGGAGGAGAGAGCCAGAGAGGCAGGGGCCTGGTTCCTGCCAGCTCCCCAGCTCCCGGCTCCGGGCCCCAGGCTGCCCTCCGGAAACACACCTGCTTCCTTGGAGTCAACTCCTTTTCCACTGTGTGAGCTCTGGGATGGTTTTGGTTACTTGCCGCCCAAAGGGCTCTGCCTGAAACATCTCTACTTTCCACAGCTGGTCCCCTAATATTATTGCCTCTGAGGCCTCTGCTCTGGGACTCCCCTGCAGTAACAGCACACAGGGGTCCTAGCTCCCCAAGGGTGATCAACGCCCTCCAGTCTCAGTGGTTTCCCCACAACAGGGGCCTCCCTTACTGGAACGCACTGTAATTGTCACTGTCCCTCCTAAAGTGTGCAGACCAGAACTGGAAACAGCCTCTCCGTTTGGACTGACAGGTTCCAAGTTGAAAGGCACTGTCATCTCCAGTTTTCTAGACGCTCAGTCTCCAGTAATACAGCCTGCATCACTAGAGGCATTTGTGTTCTCAACAGCTACATTACTCTGGTGACTCACTGAATTTGCAGTGAGAGCTTTTTCCCATGAACTGCTGTCCAGCCAACCCACCCTCCCCTATCTGGTACTCGCACAATGGATTCTTCGGAAACACACGCAAGACCTTACATTCGCCTGGTTAAATGTCATCTTCTTGGATCCCATCCAGCCATCTAGTCTTAAAAGCATTGTAAGTCTGGCTTCAATTGCACAAAGCATTAATTCTGTCACTGTAGCAGCTGCGAATTTTATGAGCAGGGCTAATGTGTTCTAAATCCAAACTGTGAAAATGATGATCAATGGGATAAGGGTAAGGACAGAGCCCTGTGGTCTATCACTAGAGATCTCCAGTGATTCCCACTTTTTTTTGCACCCATCCACACTCACGAGGATCAAGGACTGACCGTGGGGTGGGCGACGGCCCACTCCCTTAGGAGCAGATCTGGGTGGGGAGGAGAGCCATGAGTTCCTATCTCAAGCAGGGCTCTCTGGTTGCAAACAACAGAAACCATGGATGGCCAAAAGGGGCCATATGGGAAGGGGCTGGGGAGATCAAAGATGGGAAAGACCGGAAGCAGGGCTGAGAATCCAGGGCGAAGCCTAGACGGTTCCTTGAAGAGCATAGGATTGGCCCAGCCAGGGCCACGCACCCATTCCTCGGCTGGGGGGGCGGGGCGTCTTGATTGGCAGTCCTGGCAAGATCCGGGCTTTGCTAATCAATCTGAGATCTCTAGGTAGGT